CCTATCTATGGGCAAAATCTCAGGTCGAAATACAATCATTCGATTTGTTGGTATATATCATGCCATAGGCTAAAATTCCAGTAAAATACCTGTAACTCTGGACAGAAGACCTAACAGCCTTTATCCGTTTAGGGATTTTCATAGCTCACTGGGGTCTACCTTATACACAGAGTCCGAACTCAAAAGATTTTTTACACTTGCATATGTTCCCTCGTTAGAATAGGAACGATGAACAGATCTAAAACTTACACAAAAAACTATTTTCGTTAAGAACTGTCTCTATACAAAATTTCAAATTGAAAATTACTTTTCCTGATGTTCCTGAGAGAGACAAAAAAATTCCTCTAAAAAATATCATAAAATTGCATTATCTTCGTAGCAATAAACTAAGAACACAATTTCTTTTTTGTCTAAATAATTGAATAACATACTCGATCAGTAATCGGTAAAGCACAAACGACACATTTTTCTAATGAATTCTAAAACAAAGAAGAAAAAATAAAACAAATAAAATCAATCTATATAAAGATCAACTTACAACATAACATGATTCACAATAAGGTTTATTTTCCATTGAATAAAAATGCATACCACGTAAACGACATCCACACATAGTACATGTAAAACATGATACATGATACATTCGATCCATAGCTATAAGTCCATTTTCTTCTCCGACTATTTCATCATTACATCGAGCACACATTCCTTTCAAATAAAAAATTAAAAAAAAAAAAAACTCGTTTTTAAAAATAATCTTTTAACCAACCAAAAAAATTTGGTTCATTTGATACATTCATACTTTTCATTAATAATTTAGCTAATTGATCAACTTCGGATGGTTCTTTTTTTATTAAATGTCCACTACGTATTGGTAAAGATGTTGAACTTGAAGCTGGTGGTAGATTAGCACTAGTTGAAGATCGATCAAATGTATTATTGTTTGGACTAGTATAAGCTATTGAGGATTTAAAACGATTAGCAACAATATTTGATTTATATCGATTATCACCAGAATCACGACGCATTTCAATCTGATGAAATGGCTTGAAAAGAAAAAAAAAAGAAAAACAACGGAATAATTATGGTTTAGTTTTGATTCTTCTAACATACGGGTGATGTTTGTCTTTGTCTATCATGTTGAGTTGTATTTGTTGGTGGTTCAACTGAAATATGAACAGCACTACCACTTCCATTAGTTATCATTCCACCGTTTGCATTACTTGCAAATGTCATAGGTTGATTTGGTCCAGTACGATTAATTGATATAGATGGTGAATCTGGTCGAGAAATACGAATTTCACGTAATGTTGATTTATTTGTTGTTGGTGATGATGATACACGAATTTCAGATCGACTTGGTGAACCACCTGAAGCTATTGTAATTAATGGTGATCTTGAACTAACACTGATGACAGCTATAAATAGTTATTTTTTGTCAACATAAAGTTTTCTCAAATATAATATATTCGATTAATGATTTGACTTTAACTTTTCAACAGTCATGTCATCAATCATTTGACTTACCACGATTATTATTATTAATTGTTGGTCGATGTTGTTGATGATAATGTGGATGCATTAAAATCGTTGGTGAAAATCGTTCTTGTTCAGATAAATATGAATTTGAAAGTGAAGAATCTAAACAAATGTCAAGGAATATTTATATTTTTTTTTTTGTTTGAAAAGAAAACTATTTTAATTTTTTTTTTTCTTTCTCGTCTTTATTTAACTAAAGTTATACAAACAAAATAACACTTCATTGCTTAGTTAAGCAACAAGAATAACAACCTTGATTACTTCATCGAGGTTAATCTTTATACGTAATATACAATCTTTTATTATTCTCTTTTGATGATTGGTTCTGTTGACAAAAAAAACGAGAGTATCGTTCTTTTGATTGTCAACAGATGATGTATACTCATTTAGAGAATATTTTAACTTTCAATTTATCATCAAATCATCGTACGAATAAAAAAAAAATTCTTTGATGAGAAATAACTCTGATAAATAGTTTTCATGTCGAATTTTTTTTTAGTCAAGAAAACGTATCAAAATAAAAAAAAAAAACACGTAGAAAGTCATTGGTAGTGAATGCAAGTTTAAATGAAAATGATTCAGCTGATGATGATATTGATGCATTATCATCATTATCAAATTACTAAAATAGGAACATCAAACATAGATACATTTCTTGCGTCATGCTCATGCATTTATCAGATAGGAAAAAAATAGATTTTTAGAAAAGAAAATTTCTTTTCTTCTTTCTTTCAAATCACCATTTATTTGATGTGCTGAAAATCGACGTTGCGGTCGATTTTGAAGATATTGTTGATAATCTGATAATTGTCGATTATTGTTTGAATACTCAAATGGATCAGGTGTTATTTGTGATCGATAAAATGGTCTCGGAACAATTATACGAGTAGTGGATGATGATAATTGACTTGGCGAATTATGATTGAAACTCATTATTGGAGTCAATATGAGTTGAGGTTGATCACTCCGTTGTTCTTGATTTTGTGTAAAAGTTTCTTTTGGCGATGAAGGAGACGAAGCCATCGTTATGCATATACATATATAGAACTACAAGGATAATATTATATGTATATACGTGTATATGTGTATCAACAACGATAATCAGTAGCCATGTAGACAAATATTGTCTGAAAAAATAAGAACAACAACAACGAGAAAAAAAAGTGGGACAACAAAAAAAAAAACAGAAGGCTATATCGTTACTTTAGATAAACGACAAGCTAAGAACGGGAAAAATGTCAGAATATGTTTTCTGTTCTAACTAGATGACGATCCTAGATCGCATGTTCATTTGTACGAATTCTTTTTCTCTTGTTATTTGTCGCAAATAAGTAAAAACAAACCAAACAATCAAATGCTTGCGGTGCATGATATCCTAAGTCATCATATCAGCTAACTTTTCTTAATAAATGTCAAAGAGACAAAAACATTGCTATTCTAGATGTCTCGTTTGTTTACGGAAACAAGCTCGGCTCGTTATGATATTCAGATGAAAAGAAAAACCCAAAGAAACATGTCAATCTGAATGTGGTAATAAACTCATACAGAAACAATGATACTCAAAGTCAATAATGGATTAGATAAAGAAAAAGGATTAAAATTTAATATTTTTTGTTTTAGTTTTATTTCACAAGTACAGTTACTAGTGAATTGAGAACTAATCAAAACAATAATATATAGATTAATCATTATTTTACTATCTTTGGACGTCCTTTAATAATTTTTTTTATTGACCGATAATTGTTGATCATTTATTATGGTTCAATTAAATGATCAATTTGTATAAAACTTCATTTATTAGAAAAGGAATTAGATGGTTACATGATTTATCTTTTTTTAAAATATAGGTTTTAATTGTTTTTGATGGAAAAAATCTATTTATTACAATGACATAAAAATTCGTTGAATTTAAGATAAATTTTCGACAAGAATCAATTTTTACGAAATTTATGATCATCAATTTAAAAGGTCAAATATTTTCTTTACTGAATATTTTGTGAGAAGTTTAATTATCAAAAATATATTCCATGAAATTTCTTTAAATCAATTATTCCATCGTATGATATGAAATTCATAGTACAAAATATCGCACTTTATATTTCTTTCATAGACAAGATTCTAGAAAGATAATTTGTTTTAGCAATAGCGCTAGGCAATTTTTTCCTCTTTCGAATCGTATATAACTTATTTTTATCAGGCATTCATTTGTAGAATAGCATGAGAACAAATAAGGTCACTCTATAAATAATTCTGTACTTTCCGTATGTGTCATAATAATTGTACGAAACGTCGACTATTAAACAGTGGACAATTTTTCATAGGCACGTGAACATTTGGTTTTAAAACATTCCAATACACTAAAAAATACACTTACAAGTTTTTCTATGTGTTATTTCTTATGAAGTGGTCTCAAGAATTCAGACGTGTTTGGAAATGATTTTTTTGTATGGATCAAAACGGACCACAATATACATAGTTATGATTTTTCAGAACTTTTCAGAAAGTTTTCTACAGAGCAAGTTCTCTGAAAATCACTTTTTATTGAATATTTTAAAATAAAATTGTTTTTTATGTTTTAACAGATGTTAACAAGGACTCTGGCTAGAAAAAAGTACATCATCATACAGTTTAGTGGCTACCACCGTCATCGTTTGGATCTGTTTTCGTGTAGCTGACCAAGTCATAAAGCTTCTTTATGAAATTCTCGGCTCGTACTTCTAGGTCATTTTTTTGTGCTTTTGCTATGTATACGCTTAAGAAATTAAAATTGATGCAAAAAAAAGAATTCAAATGAATAAAAATTTGAAGTATACTTATTGATGATCTTCAAGCGCAGCGTGGAAGAGACTATTGCCTTCACTCTTACAAGTCAAGACTGTTTTGTCTTTTCTTTTTCTTGTTGTTCAAGAATGCTGTACAGTATAATTGATGACAGGATCACTTCCTAGAAATAATCAATAGAAGAGATTAGTAAAATTTTCTGTCTACATTTTTGAAAGAGGCAGAGTGAAATGTCATGGAATGGTCAATTGATGAAAATTCGTGAACAACTCACACTACCAAACCTATAGTTAGTTTTCTGAACTAAACAATATGGATTAGCACAAAGAAGAAAAGAATTTTCGACCTTTATTGTCAATGGTTGATGTTCGGAAATTACCCGTTAGATCTAATTGATTCAAATAAAGCTAGTTTTTGCTTCTATTTCGTTAAGAACTAAACTTCATGCTTTTTAATCTCTGTAATATTTCTTCATTCGCATCAATTTAGAACATCAACTCGAAATCCTGTATGGTAACATAGTTTATCATTTGTACACTTGGTTATTAGACCATGATATTAATTATTTTTTTTTTATGAAGAATTGAAGTTTGTTTCTGTAGTACGATTAATAGTAAAATAATTTATATCTTGTATTTTATTTTGATCTTTTCATTCAGGTGATCAAATGATGCAGAGAAGTCAGTCCACACTACTCAAATCAAACTACGTCGTACGAGCCGTTAAAGCTTGTATACTGCGTGGAATATAAACTTTAACTTTGTAATTTTTGTTGCTCTAGTTAAAAATCTTGCATTTTTTTCTCTAAGCACTCTTCACTTGATTCAAATACATCAATCACAGTAAAGAGTAATTCTTTACATTCTTTTTCTGCTGTTAGGAGTTTGATTTATCCATAAAACTTTACCTATGAACGCATTTTAAACGAAGGAATACAAAAGTATTACTGAAGATATTTACCATTTTCAAAAGTAAATTAATAGGGTCTTATATAGATAATATACCAGTTCCATCGTCATGTCTACTTTTTCTCGATATTTGAGCTTTTCTGGCATAATGATGTTCTGCTTAAGTAGTATGCCTATTAATATTTTTACTCGTAGTCGAATAAGAGACTCTCTATCTTGCATTTAAACATCTTTTTTTTTGGTGAATGAAGCATTGCTTCATTGTGAAAGTGATGGCAAGATATTATCAGAATGGTTGCTGACGCATTCTATGTTACGAATAGTTACATGAGAGCTACAAAATATTTTGAAAAAAATTAACATTTCATGTAAAGTCAATTCATTTTTTTTTTTGGCTGACTTAGACGTTAGTTTCGTGGAAATCTTTGTGAAGTTGAAAAGTTCTCCTTTTATCTAACTCCTCATTTAAATCAGTTAAACAGCATTTCCTTTATCAGTATGAGTCAGAAAGGATGTAGTATTTTATATTGGAACTGAAGCAATCATCTCGACTGTACATTCAAATCAAGACTGTTATTACAAAATACAAAGATTCAAAGCCTTTCTCTTGTCTATAACTGAACCAGAACCACAGCCGAACGTCATCAACTTAGTTTAACTAAGGACACGTACCAGACAGAGAAAAGCATAATGTGAAAGTTTTGCGGGATTTGAAGCTGTGCTTCATTGAGCGCGCTCACTATACTGAACATATCTTTCTAATTTCCTTGCAAAACGATACCTTTCGCTAGAATGACCGAAATCTGACCTTTTTTGGGGTCTAAAATTTTCCAATGCCTGAAAGAAGTATGCTAAAATGTTTGTAACATAAAAAGAAAGCGTTGTGAAAAGCTCTTCAAAAGCTGCATGAACAAATCCCTGCTGATATACTTTGATGGTTTTCTATATGGCTGTTATGATCTGTTTCGATAAGACAAGATTATATTGTCTTGCGTGTCTGCCATTTTCTTGCTCTGCTCCTCTCTTTTCTTCCTTCTTTTTTTTGCTCATCTTCTCTGATGTCTAATATCGTGGTAAGTAGCGCTACCATGTAGGTCTTTCATTCTGAATATGGGGAAAATTATTAGGACTAGTCATTAGAAATCTGCTATTACAATTTTTATAGAGCTTTTCACAAGACATCTTTTTAAAAAAATGAAGATTTTATCATTTACTTAAGCCGAAATATATGCGAAATAAAACGTGTTACAAACATTTTCGCACATACGATATTTAATTGTTTCAGACTCTTCTCCATATCGACTAGTGGTCAAAACTAAATCTCTACTAAAATATCAGTCCATTAGTAAAACTTAGTTTATTCAGTCAAGACTTCATACATTTATAGAATTCAAAGATGATTCTCTTGATCAACTTGAAACTGTACATCGAGTGATGTATTTGTTTCAACAATCAGGTATAAAAAGTCGCCGATCGACCTCTAAGAGGAGAAATCCGGAGTAAAAAAAGAAATTTCTTGAACGAGTTTTTTTAAAACTGAATTTTACCAAATGTTTCCAGCGATCGGTTTGCTATGTTCATGTGATTTTTATCTGAAAATGATCAAGGCTAGAAAATAGATTTATCGCCGTTTGTCCTTTATTGGTTTTAATATTCTTTGTTCTATACAAAACCTGTAATCTCACCATAAAAGCTTTTTTTTTGTGCACTTTTGAGCTCTTTACTTGATGAATTATACATTAATTTATTTGTATGTAATAATGATGATCGGATATGATTACAAACTGCTCCAAACAATTTAGATAATTTCATTTCATGAAGTTTTCAAATCTGTTCTGTTTGACTATACTTATATCAGTAAGCATCAGATCGAACAGCATCAATATACTTTTATAAACTCTTACTGCTATATAACAGTTGACTCATCATATCCATAGCGTGAAAATCCAGATAGCAATGTACCAAGGACGATAGAGAAGTAGTTGAGTAGTAGGTCGTGCGTGGGTAAGGTGGGTGAGTGAATCGCTTCCTCATCTTCCCATCTGGAAACACTAACCTTCAGATCCACGTTGGTAGTAGGAAGGTAGCTGAGTGGGTGGAGAAAGGATCCGTGTCTATCCCTTGCCCTCAAAATTTTAAGATCTTCTCTGTTATTTCTAAATAGAGTGCTACTCAACTCAGGTAATGTATCGTTAAACAAACGTAGTATATTTTTTGGTTTGATGATTTGGGTAATTCTTGTAATAATAATTGTGTCGAACTTCAAATGGGACATAAATTCGAGAATAGTAGGCTCACTTAATTCGTACCAACCAAACATAGTTTTCAAACATTACTCAGACGAAAGTTGAGAAAAGTTCTCAATCAATGTGCTAGTTTAGTGTCAAACATTCGTTTTCTGGCTTGAATGTGTTTGCAATCCTAACTTTTTCTTTAGTATTTTTTCGTATTAGTATAAAAGTGATCAACTAGATGGGTCGCAATCGCTTTACCGAAAATAGCTTTGCCGACAAAATGTTTTGCCGACATGTACACTTTGTCGACAATTTATTTCGCCGACAAAAAATTGAAGTCAAAAATAAATTTAAATTTATTATAGATACAGTGATATATATGTCAGCGTTCATACTTGAATGTGTCCACAATCTCGGATTGGTCTAGGCCAATGTCACATTGGACGTACTATTTTCAGGCGAATCTTAGATTGCCTAGGCTAGTCCGAGATTGGACGTATATGCGGGCATGAACGTGATATATATACATAAAGAGATAAAAGAATCCAGAATTCAAAATGTTATTGCTAAACGTGGTAATAGATCAACTATGGATTTTCTTCGGGGCATTGCCCATAATCTTTCACTTTGAGTATTTGTAATTTTGATTAAAAGAATTTAAAAAGTTCAAGAAAATAAAGAATTTTCTAAAAAAAATTAATCAGCTTTTATTAATATTAACAAATTTTGTCTGTAAAACAAGTTGTCGACAAAGTGTACATGTCGGCAAAACAATTTGTCGGCAAAGTGATGCGTCGGCAAAGTGATACGGACCCCTCAGATTGATATTCGAAATCAGCATGGTTGATAACATCAAATTGGATGACTTTTGTCTCAAACGCGGTTTATCAATTCGTATACATTTCTCGTGAGTAAAAATGTAAATAATAAATGAGCTATTAAACAATGAAAAATTCTTCAGTAAAAATCACAATTATTTTTGATTATGAATAGTATAATCGTCTTCAATCGATGAAAATCATGTGACATGTCTGTCATTACACATACTACAGTTTTTTCAAGCGTACTGAAGTGTCCTATATACATCACGGATGTTCCTCTCGACATGAATTTATCTTGAAATCTGACATTAAATAATCAATTAAAATTGACTCAAACTAACGTAATTGGTTACTATTTATTAAACTGACTGTTAATCGATTTGAACCCTATTTTTTAAATGTAATTGTTACATTTCAATTTGTACAAAAGTTTTATCTTATCAATGTTAAATGAGCTCAGTTTAGTGATAACTTCGTAGTTTCACAATATGAAAAGTAGAAAGAAAATGAGGATTTGGCATGCAAACTCGAGATAAATTATCGGCGTATGATTCATTTCTGAGGTGAAAATCGATTAATGTCCAAAAAATTCGAGATAAATCGATTATAATTTTGATATTATTTCACAATAATCGAGTTGACTATCTAAACTATGTCTATAGGATTTTCAAATTTTAATTACTACTTTTTTTTCATGTGGTTAGTTATATTTCAAAGTCGACAGAGCAACATTCAATCTATTCGTGGAAGTTTCAGGAAAAATCTGTAATGTATCATTAATTTCAAGAGTGTAACTGACAGTACTTCCAAATATAAAAACTCTTTACTGCAAGAAAACTAACAACGCACAGGTATTCTTAAAAAATGACAAAAAAGAAATAGAAATTCGATTCTCGCAAAAAGTGACACAAGAACGTCTACTTTTACCTTTCTTTCTTCGTTCGCTTCAAAATAAACTTTCAGAAGATGAAGGAAACGAAAGAAAAAAAAAAAGATGCGCCTGAGTGAGTATGTATGATGAAAGCAACGAGAAACACATTTGCCTATCATTATATTTCATTCTTTTGTTTTTTGGTTAAGAAACGATACGTGAAGTAAAATTTTTCGATTAAGAATTGTGTGTGTGTGTAAATAACACAGATCAAAGCAATGTCTTCGTATGTTATGAAAACAATATTTGGACATGAATTTGATAAAGTTATAAAAGGTATGATGGGTATTCATTAACCTCTAATCATCACTATATTTCTGTCGTTTTTTAGAGTTAACTGTCGGTGAAAGTGTCGATGAAGAAAAGGAAGATTTCGGCATTTCTGGTAAAGATCTGCTTGTAAGTGTAACAGATTTTCTTTCCAAAAAAAAAGCTGCACTTTAGAATGTTTCAAATCTTATTTCGCTACTACTAGGCTGAACAAAAGAGACAAGCAGCTATGGAAAAAGAACGAAAAGCAAGACAAGCTAAGATGAAAAAAGAACGTGAAGAAGCAAGACAGAAAATTCGTGATAAAGTAAATAGTACAGAAGCTTCCCGCATCGCATTCCATTTCTAAGAAAATTTTCGTTCTCTGTCTATTTTCATAGTATAATATCAAGAACACAGATGACCTCTCGACTCCAGTCCACGGTAAAACAATAACAACATTGAATGAAAACAAAGCAAGAGAAATGCATCAAACGTCAAATGTAGAAAATCAAGGTAGATGGTTCGGGTGAATGAGAGGAGTGCATACTGCTTTCATAACAAAACTGTTTACAGTATTCTTTTTTTGCTCTTCCCTATGTTAGGCATAAATTAGTGTCTTGTCTTGCTCTGCAAGTTAAAGATATACTTTTTACTCAGTAGAAATCTACGCTAAATGTGCATAATACTGCTTTTCTTAATTAATTACCTAACAAGGCACCAACAAAATATGATTTTTTAGCGCAACTTTCAGTTAGTCTACAGGTTTTTGCTGAAAATATTCGCAAAAACCTCCAAATCTATTCAGAGCAGGTTAAATTTGATGCCCTATTCTGCCTTGCAAACAGCTCTGTTTTACACTATGTGGAGTTAAACGATCTTTTTTCTGCCTATTTATTTTCTCTTCTTTTCTAATTAGGTTTCAATCCAGTGGAAACGACGACAAATGTGTTTAATAATTTAAAGAAAAAATTCGGATGGAAATGACATTTTTTTTGGTTAATTGTATAGCACTCAGTCTTACGTTGCTTTTATAAGTGTGATTTTTATTTGTTCGCATCCTTTTTACGTTCAGCTTTTATCGATTTTCTGTATCATGTTCTTGATTTGACTGATTCTTTTCGCTATTCATTTGTAAACTGCAGAATATTGTGTGTGGTTTTTGGGGGATTTATTTTTGTTTCAATTCTTTAAATGTATTCTAAAGATTGATACACAGAAAACTGAATCGTGTTTCGTGCGCTAATCATCTAAACAAGAGAGTCATCTCTTCAGACGCATTATATTTCAGCTTTTCTGACCTTTATTTTCATTACAAGAGACTGAGACTCGGTATGACTCTCTTCTGAAATGTTTGCATCACGAGAGCTTTTTCCAGCATTACCTTTGACGGGCTTCAACAATATGCTTTCCTGAATCCGATCATCCTTACGCTATGTCTAAATCGTTCACTGTACTACTAGCTCATTCAAGTCTCATTTATTAGTGAAGCAACTCTTATGACTGCTCTAATGCAGTATAAAGCTGCCGTTTCTGAAAAGTATTAACTTCCACTTTCATTTCTTCTGCGTCTCTCAAGGTTAAATTGCAATTACTTTTTTTTCTCACTCCCTTCTTTCTGTAAAACATATTGTGATGACGTTTTTTTCGTTTCAAAGAAATGAAAAGAAAAAAAGGGTGTCATACAGGTAAAAGTATGAAAAATGAAAGTAACAAAACAGACGCGCATACATAGAAATGAGTTTTTAGGTTATTTTTCTTAAGACCCCTCCCTTCAGCATTGATTTACCACTTAGAACGGACCGTTTGTGCTGAAAGTTTCAGAAATAAATGATCTTTGTGAGAAACACTTGTGATAAAAATAACTTCGTCGCTATTAGAGGTACAGAGCTCTGGCTGATTTCAAATTTTCTTGACCGATGCTGAGAAAAATTCAGTTTCTTCGATCAAGATGAACTCTTGACAAAAGTTCAATCAAATCAAAATGCTGATTTTCTTTGGTTTCAATGATATCATGTTCTCTGTCAATTTACACATGACAAAGAAGCTAAATAAGAGATAATTGATGCATGTCGTTCGTATTATTGAGACAATATGAAAGAATTAGAACTGATTGAAATGTTTAAAAGCGAATATCGATCAAAAGAAGCTCTTTGATGGTATTTAAAGAAATCATTTCTCTACAAAATCACTAAAAAAGCACTGAGAATGAAAGATTTGCCAGAATGTTTCGTTTGAGAACATCAAAAAATGGTTCGATCTGGTGAAGAATTATGAATCGTCTATCAAGGAATCAAATGAAGAAATTCAAAGAAAACGAAGGTAAATTGGTTTCAATTAATGACTTTTTCACAGCATGTATTCATCGTTCAACTGCTTTGAACCAAGGGATGAAACCTTCAAAACAAACAGATCATATTTTTGTTGTCATAGCAATTCAATGCTATCTAAAACATCTGAGCAACAGTATCATTGTTGATGATCTATGTGAACAAAAACAAGAAATTCTCTTCAATTTATATGTGACTTTTCGATTGAAGAGTGTGAGAATGGAGGAAGAAATTTTCTTGATTGCAATAACTGCATCGAACAAAGGTCAAATTATCAAAGAAAAATACATCAAAGACTCCTATCGTTAAATGGAAGATTTGAACATAAACATTCTCTTTGAATGACTCATGTGTGATATGGGTCTATGGAATCAATCAGGGGTGGGTGTCTTCTCTCTAGCAACACTCACACCCACACACAAATTTGACTGTTTAGAAATTCAAGGCATGTTGTGATCATGATCCATTTTTCTATCACAATTAAATTCGAACAGTGATCTATCATCACTAGATTCTTGCTTGAAATAACTCGTCAAATGGTTGTATACAGAATGAAAAATGCTTTTCTAAATCATTAATCAACGGTGAAATTTTCGAACAGAAGAACAAATTATGGTTTAGAAGATAGAATGAATTGATTTATTTTCCACCGTTGTATGAAATCATAAAACTGGCTCTTCCATATTATCATAAATATCAAGTACGTTGTCTACTCATTCACTCATGAAAAATCGAATTGTCAAGGATTTTTTCATCAGCGAAAGGCAGCTTTTGTAAATTTTTTCGCTCTAAATTATGCAACATATTCTTTTTGTTTCTCAGCATAAACTGGCTTTGCTTACAGACTGCTCTTGTTGTCAAACATCACTTTTTTTAAAAATTAAAGTAATAATGTTCTTCAATGTCTAAGTATTTCAATAAAAGCTTCTTTAAATAAATAAACTCATGGTATAAAAATTCTCAATAGCGTGTTCATGTCCGTGTCACAGTCCGTGAACTAATCTCGGATTCGCTTTCTAGATATCTATTTCAACAGTTGTATTTGTCATGCGTGCTAATCAGTTCATAGGAGTATTGACTTCTCTGTGTTTGTTTTTCATGTTGCAGTAAACTATAAACAACATTTGGTGATAATGTTAACGATGTAGTCTAATTTATTATAACGGATTTTGTATTATTTTATTTTTCATTCGTAACAAAAAAAGAAAGCCCTCGTAATTATTCTTGTGCTGTAATTTGATTACTGTTGAATCGATCATAGAATTCTTTAGTTCGTTGTTCAGCAATTCTGAACTTAAATCTTTGTATATCAGGCCCCATTCCAATACTTATTTGAAGAATCAAATANTGGAAAAACAAAGTAGATAGTTTTGTAGAGTTTGAAATTCTCTATTTTTTGATATATAAATGAGTATTTTTCATGAACAGGAATTAAACAAGAAAAGCAAAAATATTTAGTGCAATCTAATCTGGCCCACCCGTTATTTAGATATTCGCAATTTTGTGATCTAAGATACTATAAATAACTTTTAAGGTTTCTTTATAATATCCCGATGCTCTAAATAACCACTCTAATTTTTTGTTCTGATTCCGAATATCCTATTAGTTTTGACTCAAATTAAACTTTTTCTGATTGAAATCTTCTAAATATTGTGTTGAAAGATAAAGGTAGATGATAAATATGCTAGCAGTGTCTACCATCACATTGAATCGATATCTGGGATTGAAGAACCATTAAAGAGTTATTAAATTCATAAATGCAATTGTGTTTTGTCTTGCCATTGATATATGATTGAATGGAGTTGCCTAAGAAAAGTACTAGGTAGCTCACTTGAACTTTTACATGCCTTTCATTAAATTTCTCTTGGGCATTTTATTCGTTGTTTTTCTTACCAATTCTCGACTGCTCACTTCTTCCCCTAAAATCAGGTCAATTTTAGCAAAGATCTTCTAATCGATTTTCCTTGATTCTAACCACCTCGGAATATTTTTGATTACAATTTTCCTTCTTTGATGTCAAATGTAAGTTTAATGAAACCTAGAAACAATTAAATGACATCTCGACTAAGTTGAGAATGCAAATTAAGGTGTGAAGTACTCTCCACTTTCCATTCTTCAATTTCGAACAACATTCTGTACCCCGAATAATGTTCTTTGATGTCAAACCGAAAACTGATCACCAGTTGCCGACTTCCTGACCTACTGAAAAGTGGTATTTCAAGGGTCGATATGGAAGTTCGGCGCACTCCTCTTTGATGAATTTTGACGGGTCACAATAGTAGAGATTTGACTAGTCTATATTTCAAGCACTCTAGATTTTTGTGAAATTTCAAAAAATTTATTTCCTACATTCCTTGTTTCTCGAGCACTCGGTATCTATCTGATATTTTTGCAGAAGAGGAGATTCCAATATATATACATATGGTTACGAAGCTTGTACAGATCAAACAAGTGAACTAAATATGGAGTTTAATCTAAAATAAAAATACGTGCCTTCATGAAATATATTGAACATCAATTTTATTTAATTTTGGGTGGGTGTGGTTGTGCGTTTTGTTTTTACTCATTCACATGCTCACCCACACCCATCCACCCACCACGTTCATTACTTCTGCACTATTTTCATTCGATGAATTTGATTAATTATAAGACACGAAAATCATTACATTAGACTCATTCATGTTTTCGAAAAAATTCAAAATATCCAATTATAGTTTCCTTGGAATTTTATTTGAACTACCGAATTCTTACCAGGTTTCAGATGAGTTAACTTGTCCATACTTTTGTCGAGTGAAATCGTTTTTGATCGACGACTATCATGTAAAATACATGATGAAACATCATTTTTTCTTCAAAAAAAAAACATTGTGAAAAATGGTGAATTAGAGTTTATCTATACATTTGTCCTTACGCATACGTGTTTTTCAAAAATGAAACGTGAAAGGAAAAGAAGGATCTCATGTGCTGCTTTTTGCAGCATAAATTATTTAAACTTGGTACTTTTAGTTATATCTGCTTCTTGTGGATATAGAGTAAATTAAACGTGTCAAAAGTTTAGTATAGAACCTCTCGAAAGACAAGATTCCTGGAATTCATGAGAGAGCCTAGGAAAAGTTAGTCACACTTGATTCTTCTCGATATTCATATGTGAAAGAGACTACACCATTATCATGCATGCTTTGCATGACATCGCTGTAAGAAATGTGTAACATCTCTAAAAGACATGCAATTTTTCGTGCATTTAATCATCAGAAATATCTTTTTATTGATGACAGTCATCATGCCTCTCATGGAAAAATTTCATGAAAATTGTGTGAAAAACATCGACTTTTCCATGTATTTGCTTCATCGGTAGACATCTTTACACTATATGTTCATATGCTTATCATGATTACATTATTTTCGATTTGTACGAAACAGAAATGTTATTATCAAAAACATTGCGCTAATTGAAGGCTTTCTCAAATGAAAAATATTTGAATAATCATTATCTCTCTATTTTAATTAATTATTTCTTGTAAAATCTTGTTTTTATCTTATCTTTATGACAATAAATTAAGTGTATAACTGAAGTTAGAATGATATGTTAATATAGGGTTGTAGCATTAACTGTATTCGCATAATCAGAAATATCAGCTAGCCTTGTTTGATGTGCAGGTCAGATTAGAAAAAAGTAGTCTGCTGACAACTTTAGCTCGATAAAATATCATATACCTCTAGAATAGATAGTAATTAAAGAAATTCATGTAAGAATAAAAAGTTTTCTGCAAGACATGTGTTTTCATTCCTAATAGTTCTGTGCTTGTCTGTCTTCATGGCAATTCCTGTTATTTTCTATTATTAATATAAATCTTCTATTGAAATAATACATACGCTTCTTCAGTGTATTTCTCGCTATTTATGTTCGTCATTATAATCTTATCTCATTTTAAAAAAAAATATCATCATCAATGTTCACCAACACAAAACTTCTTTTCATTTTGATTTCAGTTAGTAACATAGATCGCTCTATTGCTACAATTGAATTAAATGTTTAGTTTATTTATTGATATTTAAAAAACATTAGAAAAGGAAGATTGTAATGAAAATGGAATGTTTTTCTACTTAAAAACGACGATAGAGCAGCATGATGAGTGTAGTAATAACGCCAAAAACAACGAAAGATTGTTGTCGAATAGATGATACACCATTGCACAAGTCAGATGTACAACAGCATTTCGAGTTCTTTCCAATAAAGGGTAAACTCACTGTCACACATTTGTTTTCGCCCTCTGTGCATTCACTAACATCAACGACCTCCCGACTAATAATACCACCAAAGACTTTGCTTTTCTGTAAAAAAAAATGTCATTAGTCTTGATAAAAAAAGAGAAATGTATGAAAATACGTACGTAACAACGTTCATTAGGTTTTGCCTCTACTTTCCAGACATCTTTAGCTTGTCCTTTATCAAACGTATCACCACAACCTGCATCGGTTAGAGTATTACACACATAGCATTTATAGGCGTGACCAGTCCAGATGCCTATAAAGATTTTATAATTGGATAATTCTTCAAAGTATATTCTACATTTATGACTTACTAAATGAACAAACAAGGGCGAGAAGAAGTAATTTCATGATTTGATTCTGGTTAAAATGTTGCTATTAATTGTTAATCAAAAGCTAAAATAGGCGAAACATGGAATTAAGGTCTTTATTACTCTAGTATATATATATGTTTATCGTGAACGTCATTATTCGTTATCTAATATTGCAACACAATTGTGCAAAATTTATCGTTAACACAAGTTTTCGTGTTTTGTTTTTGAATCAATGCCGTCCTTGGTTGCTTTCCATTGCGAACTATCTTGTTTCTTATCGTATCAACAGAAATTCTAAAACATTATGGAGTATACATGAGTAATGTAAGAGATGTGTTGTGCAATGACGTCGATGATTGGTTAGATATATTTTATCATAGCTATACCAGTGAAAAGTGAGGGTGTCCATTTCACACAACTGCTTATGCTACAAAAATTAAATATTTCGAAACGATATTGGATTGTAAACTGTCGTTCTCTTCGCATATAAATAACGTTGAATCAAAAATACGAAAAAATCTAACTATATTTAAAAGTCTAGCATCCAGTCATATTGCTGAGTGAAGACGTGGTCTATCGGCTTTAGAATGCTTAGATTACACCTCACCATCAGTGAATTTTAAATATATACCCAATATTGTCTCTATCTAATTAAATAGGCAGGTATCTAAAGATCAATTCATGGATGACATGATGTAACGAACATCGAAATTTTCCAATTTATGTAAATACAAACATTTGACGAGATAATCTCGATTCACTGGTCAAAATTCATCGTCACGATTCTCCAAAGTAACCCTTCGGTTATCGGCGACTTTCTCCAACGCAAAATGTATCTGATATACATACAGGAATTCAAAAGAAATCCAAACTTGCTGAAAGAAAAACGAACAATAGTCGAAAAAGGAAGAATGAGTTAAAAAATAAATAGTTTAATCAACGAACATGAACCCTCTTTATTTGATTGCACCTTTTGCTTCTAATTGTAATACGCTAATGTTACGGAAAAAATTGTCCTGTTATTACTCTTAATTGACATAAGTCACTATCTCTTTTGATCTGTACTAATAGAAATGTTTAATTCAATCTATGTTCATTTCTTTTTTGTAAGTCTATTCAATAGTACATCATTTTCATTTTACTCTTTCCTTGTTTTTTTTTAATACTTGTTAAGAATTCAATGCTAATGTGATATGAACCATTGCTTTTTGGAACTGTCATTTGTAACTAAATAAAATGTGTAATTCATGTGGTTTTCTTTTGTTCTGATCATAGAAACCATGCTCATCCATGACACCGAAGCATGAGGACAAGCTATACACTTCTCGATGAAATAAAAGCATAATAATAATGATAATAAACGAGGGATGTTCATTGATGCATAAATGTTTCAACATATGTACATTTGAAGTGCAAAAAAAAGATTGCCTGCCTTTTGTTTTCCGTCAAAGAAAATTGACTGTGAATACTTTTGAACAGAAAACTGATACTCAAGGCCTCAAAATTCCTTCTTTTACAAAGACATTGTAAGATAAGTACGCACAGGTACTGTTCTGCGCCTTCATCGATGATATATTACGCCATTCTACAGAAAATAAAATACACATTTTTGTTGTCAGTAACGAAATGTAGGTTAGCTATAATATGAATCAAGTTCTGTGTTGACGATTCATCATAGAGGTATAAAAACAAAATCAAAATCGTATAGTTTAAGGGTGTAGTTGTGGGGGGTGCAAGTGTGCGTGTAGGTGTGGGGATGGGAGTACAAGTACGGCTGTCATTGAAAACATAGGCGAACATTGAACTCAACAGCTACACTTATACGCCCCGCTCACACTCACACCCACAGACTTACATCCATACACTCACAGACTCACACCCGCACCCTACATAAATGATGATATCGATCTATATATAACAAGCATGTTGGATAAATCCAAGCAGAAAATAAAGAAATAGAAGGAGAAACCCAATATTGAGAATAAGATGATACTAGGAAAATTCCGAATGGATGGAAAAAGACCGAAAGGAAAAATGTCGAAAGTAGAGGCGCCACTTTCCACATGTTACCGCATGACTTACATGTTTTGTGGCGCCTCTATTTTCGACATTTTTCCTTTCGATATTTTTCCATCATACCAAAATTCCAACATAGCGATAAGGAAAATTCCTATATTAACAGTTTTCAACATATACTATTGGAGAATTCTTGTGAGTAATGACCGTGGTTGGAAAATGCCTACTCAATACTATCAAAACGAAAAAGAAAGCAGTTTTTTCTTCTTTCTTCGATAAAGAGCGTTATTATTGAGAGAAAACATTAATCATTTGCTTGCTTCGTTGTTTCAAGAAATGGCTGAATCATTCGATATAAAGAATTCTGATAAAACGGTTTTGTATGCATTTCGTTTTGGAACATCTGATAAACTTGTACATCTCACACAACAAGAACTTAATCGTATTCCTTACTTATTTAATCTTGTCGTACATAAAGATGATTTTTCATCAGCTCAAAACGAAAATGGTGAATATGTATTGAATCATCCAATTGAATATACGTGGTTCATGGCAATTTTTCATTCAATCACTTCCGAACAACCGTACACATTATTTGATGAACTACCAGAACATGATTATATTTTGGATGTACTTGACCTATCTGACTATCTTGGCATTGATTCGTTTCCTCTACCTTTTCTAAAAGACAAAACTTTACTACTATCAAATTCAATCGAAATTGATACCACTAAAAAACATATCAAATATCATAAAGCAACTATCTCAGAAGCACGTCAGACAGCTGCAGAGTTCATTATAGCTCTTAGTAAAAATGAATACGATTTAAATGATTTGGACACACGAAATAATATTGTTTTTTTGATCGAAATCATTCTCTCTAGTGCAGCTGTTTTTAAATCACGATTTCGTCACCACACTGTAAAAGTAGCAAAAGAATGTTGTTATTCATTCTTTTCTCAACAGCAAAAACGTCTACTACTTACTGCTCAACGAATTGCTAAGTATCAAAAGATCGAGTCCTCCATGTATTTATGCAACGATGATAAACCTCTTCCGGACAATTTCTCGAATACGTTCTCTTGGAGAGGTGTTTATGTGTTAAAAGAAGACGAACGCAGTGATCTTCTATCGACAAGTTCGAAAGACACATCCTTATATAATTTATTTCAAAGGATTGGTGAAATTTATGACTGGCAAAATATAATGAGCTCGTATGAGATTCCAATTTTGTCATTTCCAAGGATGCAATTCTTTTCAGCACGACGGTCATATCGTCGACGAAATTTTCGGTATATTTATTCTTATGAAGAGTCATCCATCAACGAAAACGAGGAAAATCGAAAGAAAAATGAAGCACGAGAAGCTCGATCAGGGCATTTCAATACATTACCTACACGACCTAAAGTCGACAAATTCAAACATCAATTTGGTTTAAAAACTCAACAATATCGATAAACAGACTATTTTCCGTGAAATATTTTATTTTTTATTTAATTTAGATAATAGACAAGAGAAATCTTTCTAATAACGCTTCGTGTGCCGGTCGTATCCTGGTAGTTATCTATGTATGAGTGTAAGGGAGAATGTGGGGGTATGAATGATAAAGAGAAGATCCACATTCACACAGAAGTGAAGTTGAGTCTGGATTCTAGTATATTTGTGCAGAATTCGTCTAGGAACATGTTCCAAAACTCATAGTCATATTACAAGTAGAACTCGATTAGCTCTATTTAATGGTGCAATCAGGTTTGCCATAGATCAAATCATGGTTCCAGAAATCCAAAAATGATGATATTTTCTTATCGGAACTTTGAATCCAGATTCGAGTAATTTCGTGCGGGACTCGTTCAAAGACATGTTCCAAGCACAACTCAATGAACTCCAGCGAATGGTATGCTAGGATTTCATGTAAACCAAAATATGATTTTCAGATTTTATCTCGCGCCATCTATCGACCTGAAAATCATTCTTGAAGCTATTAGAAATCTGAGCATACCGTTGGGTAGATCTCGTTGGGTTGTGCTTGAAACATGTCTTTGAACGAATCTCGCACGAAATTGCTCGAATTTGGATTCGCAGTTTCAATAGGAAAATATCATAATTTTTGAATTTCTGGGATCACGGTTTGACCTATAGAAAACCTGATTGCACCATTAAATAGAGTTCATCGAGTTCTACTTGTAATATGAATATGAGTTTTGAAACATGTTTCTAGACGAATTCTGCACAGATATACTAGACTTCAGACCCAACTTCACTTACATCAACATATCGGTGTGAATTAATTAACCCTTCGTTGGTATCGTGGGGTCCATGTAGATTATAATCAATCCTTCGCTAATTGCTGGCCTATTGGTATCAATGACATAATTTAATATCATTGTTTTGTCTTCTACGTAAGGTGTGATCCGAGTTTGAAACAATAACTTTGACAATATTAATTAAATCGAAAAGAATGTTTATTTTATTAATTAATTTTATTAGACATTCTATGGTTATTTGTCACTAATTGACTACGATAAAGAGAGACTAATATTGTTGGGGAATATTTTAATTGTTCTTTAATACTTGAAGTAACAAAATTCTCTCATCGGTAACTCTTGGTTTTTATATTGAAATGGAATAATAAAAAGTTAATTAAGGATTGGATTGTCTTGTTAATTATTTTTAAATAAAATTCTAAAATAATTCAACCTATGATGAAGATTAATTAAATAATGAACAACTATATTGAATTAATATGTACGATGTAAATTGATAAGAAAATAATTCCAATAACACGCTTTTAAATTATCAGAGAGAATTTATCGAAGAGATTGCATGGTCATTTAAAATATGTTAATTAATCAATTCAATAATTCGTCAATTAACAATTAAATATATAACTCAATGACAAAAACTAGTATCATCACTATAAATTAATAATGAATATGTTGAACAAAATTTTGAAAATCCTAAGACTAAAACATGAGTTAGTAAATAAGAATCACCGATTAATAAATCGTCTTTCATCATCAAATAAAACAATAATTCAGATTTAATTACGATTTAAAATTATTTTTGTTTTTAAAGTGACATAACCATTGAAATGTCTAAAAAAAACATGCAGATTATTCATAAAATATAGAAAAATAAAAACTGATAAAGGCGAAAATACTAATGAAAAAATTAGAAGAAGAGAATCTCGAATGTCGGATAAATATTAAAGATTATTAATCAGCTATCTATTTGAATATTATCTGCGATATTAAATAAAAGCTTCTTTCAATGTTATTTTCTATTATACAAGAATGACGTTCTCACTGACAATTCAGTTCTTGTCTATGGATAAAAACTTTTTTGTATGTTTTGTTCAAAAGATATATGCAGCCGTATTGTCTTCATTTCCTGTATTAGCTAATAAACTTTCTTCACTTTTACTTAGTGAACATCAAAAAGATTTACATTTACCACGATATACAGTATCTTCAAGAGCCCTGTACTATTTCTCAATGCATCTTACACAATTCTATTTGTCCTGATCTACTAATAAAAATTTCTTTTTGATTTTTTTATTAGGAATTATTGAGAAAAATGTATATATGATTCATTGTGAATTTTAAATTCTCGTTCATAGTCAGGAGACACATTCTACATGTTAGCAGATGAATATGATAATCAACACATACAATTAGACAGGGATTTCATCTCTCATAAATTCTATTTTTCTTTGAGAGACCTTCTACAATATCTTTTCATTGAAAAAAACTAAATGAAAGGTATGATGGTAAAACAACTGTTGATCATTGAATGCTTGCTCCAGCAAGATTGAAGATTGAGAGTAAGGATAAAAGTAACGTTGACATGCAATTTTCAAAATATTCAAGAATGAATTTTTAATTCATAAGTTCTAACAAAGTACTATTGATGAGAAAATTTTATAGGATCTAATATCGAAGAACAACTATTGTGCATGTCTTAATTTACATATATACATACATCATATAAAAAAATATTCAGATATAGATGTTTGACGTATTCAATAGCAGATGCTTACTTCAAGATAATACACATGATTACTTAAAAAGAACATTTCATTTTTAATTCAATAATCTTATTCAAAAACAGAAAATAACTGATGTGACAAAAGACAATGCAGTTAAAATAAGATAACATGAAATGTTGTACTATATTATAATGCTGCATAAGGCTAATAGCAATGTCTAAGAATAATGTGGAGATAATTCAGTGATGCTTTGAACGAGTAGAGAGTGATTTATTTGTCTATGTCATTCTAGTTGTCCGTAATTCGAAAATGGAGTTTCTGTAGTCGGATTTTTCGGAAAAAATGTAAGTTGATATTTTGAAAAACTGAATCGTCTACTACATTCAGAATTTAATGCTCATTCCGAGTATAAGTTTTGCATTCGGTTTAGTGTAAAGTAGATGTTATTACTTATCTTTTTTTATCAGATTGCATCACACTCTGTTTGCCACCAAATAAACAACTTGTTGCTAAAAATATTTATACACGCAGTTGAACGACAATCATTAAGACAGGCATATAATAATGATGAAAAAAATAATAAAATAAAAATTCAATGGTTTTTATTTCAAACGCTTTTTATTAGTTGGCATACATTCCTCGTGAGTAACTGTTGCACAATGAAAAATTCCTCAGTACAAATCACAAACATTTTTGATTATGGATAGTATAATCGTCTTCAATCGAATTGATAGATTGGTAATCAATTAATTGAATTTGAATTACTGTTCAATCGATTAAAATCATTTTTCAAGGCTAGAATCAAAATCATTGATTACAAACCGAAAAGATTCAATCGATTTCTTTTCAATACTACAGTTATTTCAGGCGTGCGGAAATGCTCTATATACATCACGGATGTTCCTTTCGACATTAATTTATCTTGAAATCTGAAATTAAATAATCAATTAAAATTGACTCACACCAACACAATTGGTTATTAATTATTAAACTAACTGTTAATCGATTTGAACTCTATGTTTTAAATGTAATTGTTACATTTCAATCTGTAGAAGAGTTTTATCTTATCAATGTTAAATGAATTCAGCTTAGTGGTAACTTCAGAGTTTCACAAAATGAAAAGTAGGAAAAAATTGCAAAAAAATGAGGATTTGCTGACATTCAATCTATTTGTGGAATTTTCAGGAAACACCTACAATGTATCATTACTTTCGAGAGTGTTTCTGACAGTTCTTCCAAATATATAAACTCTTTACTACAAGAAAACTAACAATGCACAATTATTCGTGAAAATTGAGAAAAAGAAAACAAACAGAAATTTGATTCTTGCAAAAAATGACGTAAGAACCTCTGGTTTTATCTTTGTTTCTTCGTTCGTCTCGAACTAAAGTGTCAGGAGATGAAAGAAACGAAAGAAAAACATACGCACATCTTTATGTTTCATTCTTGTTTTGTTCTTTTGGTTAAACAAGACACGTGAAGTCAAATTTTTCGACTAAGAATTGTGTGTGTGTGTAAGTAACACGGATCAAAACAATGGCTTCGTATATTATGAAAAAAATGATTGGAAATGAATTTGATAAAGTTATAAAAGATATGAAAGGTATTCATTAACCTCTCTAGTCATCACTATATTTCTGTCGTTTCTTAGAGCTAACTACCGGTGAAAGTGCCAATGAAGAAAAGGAAGTTATAGGTATTTCTGGCGAAGATCTGCTTGTATGTGTAACAAATTTTCTTTAAAAACAAAATGCACTCTAGAATGCTTCAAATCTTATTTCACTACTACTAGGCTGATCAAAAGAGACAAGCAGCTATGGAAAAAGAACGAAAAGAAAGACAAGCTAAGATAGAAAAAGAACGTGAAGAGTCAAGACAGAAAATTCGTGATAAAGTGAGTAGTGTAAAAGTTTCCAACATAGAATGTCTCTCTTCTAAGAAAGTTTTCGTTCTCTGTCTATTTTCATAGTATAATATCAAGAAAAAAGATGAGCTCTCCACTCCGGCTCACATTAAAACGACGACGACGACATTAAATAAAAATCAAACAAGAGAAGTTCATCAAGCGTCAAGTGTAGAAAATCAAGGTAGATGGTTCGGAAGAATGAGAGAGTGCATATTGCTTTCATAACAAAGCTGTTCGCAGAACTCATTTTTTGAGCTTCTTTGCATCCTGCTGGTTAAAGATATACTTTTTACTCAGTAAAAACTTACGCTAAATTTGCATAAAACTGATTTTGTTAATACATCGCCTAGCAAAACACCAACAAAGTGTGACTCCTAATGTAATTTCCAGTTAATCTATAAATTTTCGCTGAAAATATTCACAAAAAACCTCGAAATCTGTTTACAGCAGATTAAATTCATTTCCACTATCTTGCCTTGCAAACAGCTCTGTTTTTCATTATGTGAAGTTAAACAACCTTTTTTTTTGCTTCTTCATTTTCTCTTATTTTTTAATTAGGTTTCGATTCAGTGAAAAAGACGACAAATGTATTTAATAGTTTAAAGAAAAAATTCGGATGGAAATGACATTTGGCTATTTGTATGGCACTCAGTCTCACGATTTTTTTATAAGTGTGATTTTTATTTGCTCACATCTTTTTTGCATTCAGCTTTTATCGATTTTCTGTATCCTGTTCTTAGTTTGACTAACACTTTTCGCTATTCATTTGTAAACTAGAGAATCTTGTGTGTTGTTTTTTGAGGATTTTGTTTCTGTTCAAATCCTTTGAATGAACTCTAAAGATTGATACAGAGAAAATTGAATCGTGTTTCGTGCGCTAATTATCTAAACAAGAGAGTCGTCCTCAGATGCGTTATATTTCAGCTTTTCTGACCTTTATTTTCATTGGCAAAAGGCTGAAACTCGGCCTAAATTCGTACAATACCAATAGTGGATATATAGAAGGATCGAATGACTTAGTGAAACTCTCTTCTAATATGCTTTCCTGGATCCGATTCTTCTTACCCTATGTATAAATCCATCACTACACTACTAGCTCATTCAAGCCTCATTTCTTAGTAGAGCAACTTTTATGACTAATCTAATGTAGTACAAAATGTCCTTTCTGAAAAATTTTTAACTTCCACTTCTATTTATGTGAGTTTTGTAGAAAAGTTTTTAAAAATTGTTCAAATTTAACGGTTCATCACCAAAGTCATACAGGTAAAAAGTATAGATTTTCTTTTCAAAATTTTTCTCATCGATTTATCTATTACGTGACAAATCAGATAAATGTGAATTATGTGGATATACATGTGTTCATTGGTCAAAATTAACACGCCATTTGAAAACTCATGACCGTGTTGCTAATCAAGCATTTCATTGTTGGTATTGTGTGTTGTCATTTTCTGTTGGAGGCACATTAGAAAAACATATATGTCTTTGTGAACGTAATCAACAAATTCTGGATGTATCTAAATAAAATAACAAAAAACAAATACAACAGAATCAAGTAGAAAATGGATAAATGATACTAAAAATGAATTTTCTAATAATAATAATAGTGATGAAATGATTGTGAATGATTATTCATCATCTACTGAAAAAAAGTTATGAACAAAATGGTGAAATTGATCTTATTGAAGAAAGTAAACAACCATCGAACGAGCAAACTCAAGTTTTTTTTTCTTTTGTTCATTTATTAATTCAACAACAATCTAATTATTTTGCAAAGAGAAAAGAATGATAATGCAGACTTTGTTACTGCTTATTTACGTGTCTATATAAATTAAAGAAAGAATTTTTAAAATANTCTTAGTAGAGCAACTTTTATGACTAATCCAATGCGGTACAAAATGTCCTTTCTGAAAAATTTTTAACTTCCACTTCTATTTATGAGTTTTGTAGAAAAGTTTTTAAAAATTGGTCAAATTTAACGGTTCATCACCGAAGTCATACAGGTAAAAAGTATAGATTTTCTTTTCAAAATTTTTCTCATCGATTTATCTATTAGGTGACAAATTAGATAAATGTGAATTATGTGGACATACATGTGTTCATTGGTCAAAATTAACACGCCATTTGAAAACTCATGACCGTGTTGCTAATCAAGCATTTCATTGTTGGTATTGTGTGTTGTCATTTTCTGTTGAAAGCACATTAGAAAAACATATATGTCTTTGTGAACGTAATCAACAAATTCTGGATGTATCTAAATAAGATAACAAAAAACAAATACAACAGAATCAAGTAGAAAATGGATAAATGATACTAAAAATGAATTTTCTAATAATAATAATAGTGATGAAATGATTGTGGATGATTATTCATCATCTGCTGAAAAAAAAGTTATGAACAAAATGGTGAAATTGATCTTATTGAAGAAAGTAAACAACCATCGAACGAGAAAACTCAAGTTTTTTTCTTCTTTTGTTCATTTATTAATTCAACAACAATCTAATTATTTTGCAAAGAGAAAAGAATGATAATGCAGACTTTGTTACTGCTGATTTACGTGTCTATATAAATTAAAGAAAGAATTTTTAAAATAGCTAAACCAAATGAAATTTATTTGCATGATGATCATCAATCTGCTATTGATATCAAACCATTGTGTCCACCCGATGAACTTGATTAAATTAAATTATATGAACTGTTTGAATCAAAATGGTTATTAGAATCTCTTCAAAGAACTTTGGCACATTCATATGAATACTTTCATTCATCTATTCTTTCATATACCTTTTCTTTGTTTTTTTTTAGGAAGAATTCTAACAATAGACAGAAGCAAAAAATGACATAATCCCATTGATCATTGTTTGGATATCTTATTTATTCATAATAGAATAACTTTTCTTTTATTTAAAGTGACTTTATTTTAGGAAAAACGGATTAAAAATATTGATGAAAAAGATTTTCAATTATTAAGAACAAATTTTTTTCTTTATGAATCCGAAGGAATTCAATGCGAATTAAAATTTCAGAAGAAAACGATTATAGTTCATGTAAAATATTTATTTTCAATTGAAATTAATCTTTTTATTTTTTTAAATTTTAGTCAACCGAATGTTAGTACATGTACATTTGAATAGAAAAAAAATTCAAATTATTCTATATATTCAAAGAGATACTCTAACTCTTGACTATATTGATATTGCATAGGAATTAACAAGATTGATTTATAAAAAAACCCACCTCATTCATTAGTTCAGTTCATCAGTGATAAACTTGCTTCATCATTAGAAACACTCAAACGACGTGCAATTCTTCTTGATCGATTATTGAAAATCAAACAACAACAGCAACAGCAACGTAAGTTTAATTATAAAAATTCCATTTCGTAATAGTTTTAATGAAATGTTTTTCATAGCAATTAAAAATGGCATAAGAACTTGAAGAAGTTAAATTATTAGAGAATGTACAAACGTAACTTCGACAACAGTGACAACAACCATTTCAACAGTCGCAATATCACCTACAGCAACAAAAACAATCACAACTTCAATCACATCATCAGCAGTTGACAGAAAGTGTAAAGCATAATGAAGAACAGGAACAAGTTCAACGTGGATTTTTTCAAAGTTTAAGAGAGTAATTAATTGATTAGTATTAATATTTGTAATATAAATTCTTTTGTTTGGTTTGTTGATTCTTCTTCAGCTTTCTTCTCCTCTACCAGCTCCTTCATCAAATGGGTCAGTTGAGAATATCTCAAGTATACAATTGGAAGAGATCGTGTTAATCATTTTGGTGAATATATATCATCTGATAATGGAGATATTCGTCGAATGATTGGAGCAAGTCTACCTTATTCTCAAAGAGAATTTAATCAATCAGAATATTCAAGACATAAAAATAATAATTCGTTTGAATTTATTTCAGCATCAAATATGATTCGTTATTCAAATCTTCTTCGTGAAATTTCTCCTTATCTTAATCGAAATCTTCCCATAACAAACATAATGCTTGATATGGAAAACAGCTTACTTTCTTATCATTTTCTCTTGCCAAAGAAGTGTTCAATTTACCTGTGAAAACAATGTATCTTTTCCATGATATTAATAGTAGTAACTTACACTCTTCAATTGAAATTATTCAATATATATGTTTATTTTTCAGCAGATATTGCTTTCAACAAGAATGATTCGTTATTTCTTAATGTTTGTTATTTTGAACAAGTATTTGCCGGTGATCTGCTAGTATATGTTGAAAAATGTCGATCACCATCATCATCAGGTTCGATTCTTTATCGAATAGTTAATTTTCAATTTATGGTTATCCGTCAATAATTATCACATAATATTCATTCAAATCATTGTTTAAATTTTCTCAATCTATCTAAATTCTCTTTTCAATAACCATTGTCAAATATCTCTTTCGTTTTCAAAGTAACTCATATCTTAACTTGAAATTATTTGAAAGATTCGTTCATCTCTCTTGGTAGAATTATCAGAAAAAGTTGGAAACATCAATGTGAACATAATTTGTCATGATCTTTCACACAGTGTAATTGATTTCAAAATAGTAACTTTTTCTTATGTATGCTTGCGCAACGCTAGGATGGACTTTCTCTCAAAAAAAAAATTATTTGTTATTTCGTAACAAATAAGATAACAGGAGAAGCTTTATTCCAATTAAAAAATGGTATGTGATAAACTTATCGATACAACTGAAAAGTCTTTCCCAGTTTCCAACTTTAGGATCGAATATATCTGAAGTGAATAGTTCTACACTATTGAATAGTGAGTGTGGGTGTCGGGGATGTCGGTGTGCCTCTTCTCTTCAGTCACACCCACACCCTCACCCAGACTCATACTCACCCACCCACACCCACAGTTTTTTCTTTTACTTTTGTTGATTGTTACGAAATCTTTCAAAAAAAAATTTGGGGCGTATTTTATGCATTCAAATAAGTATTTTTGAATGTTAAATAAAGACTGGATAGTACGATATTTAGTTCAGATCTTGTAAATCTTCGCATACTATTTAGTGACCAAGATATAATTATCCGTACCAAAGATCAGCGAACAAGATCATTCAAGATAAGCTATAAAATACAAGAACTTTCATATCTGTTCCTAAGATTTTATAACACTGTACCAAAGATATAATCATAGACCTTGGTACAAGAAAATATGATTATCTTGTGTCTACATTTTCAAGATCTACGTACTTTTTCAGTACCTTGTATCTTGACTAAGATCTTGCTTTCCAGATGTTTCATTAGGGGTGTACACCTGAAATTTACTATATATTTTGAATTCAAAAAAATCAAATATGTAATTTCACTACTTTGCATCAATCACAAATGCAATCAAGTTCAATTGTGTCTAATAATTTACATTTTCAAAATCTAGGTTTAATTTTGTCTGACACAGACATCTTCAGCCGAGCACTACACTCATTAATAGCACATAAGACAGAATTTCCATTGAATATTCATATCATCCTAATTTTCAAAGCATACAAACACAATTCCACCCACACTCTCCAATAATCTTAACACCTCGAAATCAACGTTTCACTCGCACGAACTAATCATAACGAATTGAAATGCAACCTATGTTTTTTCATTAAAGTCATCTACACAGCAAGACTCCATAAAAAACTCCAATATTTTCCATTTTCCACTTTAAGAAAATCAAGAGATTTTATTCTCATGTTAAGATAACATACAGCATGAAAAAAAAAACCCAATCACAGATTCACTTGAAAACCTTAGTTGTCCATCAAGTCATCTTTCAAAACCAATGTCCACTAATTTTTTCGCTGCTTATTTCGTTTAATTAATTCGCCCAAACGAGCTTTAAGTTTGTCTGCGATTTGATTCCAAGAGAAATCAAGTGTGGTGAGTGTCTGTGTGAAAAAGTGGATATGTGTATATGATAGAGATGTCGATAGAATGAGGGTCACGGTGTTGTTGTTTAATGCATGAGCGAGATGTTGTGCTCCTTGGTCTGCGATTTGATTGGAAGAGAGATCAAGTGTGGTGAGTGTCTGTG